TCCTCCATCCTTTTCGGGGATTGTGAAATATCTGGAGTAAAATCCATCATGCAATGTAGGGGAAGGGACTATGAGAGTGGCCTGTTTCTGTAGAAGAAGAGAAACTTCTTCACGGAGAGCTAGAGAGTATGGCATAGTCTTAATGACACCAGAGGGTGGGGTACGTTGAAATTCAATAAAATAACCATTTTGGACAATAGAAAGGACCTACTGGCGCCAAGGGATGGAGTCTAGTTTGAAATGTAGATAGACGGGGTCTCTGGATCCTGCTTACCCTTTTTTTGTGGGTGTCGAAAGGGCTGTCAACGTGCTTGTTGCTGTTGAGGTCAAAAGGAAGGTATGGTAGATGTAGATGGGCCTGGGGAGGATCTGTCGGATACTTGTGGCTTGTATGGTGGATATGGTTGTTGGTATGGTTGAAACAGCTGTTTAAAGAAAGGGTGTCTTCAGAATTGAGGACACCGATACCGGTAAGGTTGCTGGGTGGAATATGAGCGTGCCGTTTTGCAGATTTTATGGAGCTTGTCCATGACCTTGTTTTAGTATTGAAAAGACCAGCACCATCAAAAGGTCTTCTATCTTTGCTCTAGTATCATCTGAGATACCTGCCGATCTCAGCCAGGTATGGCTCCTCAAGGCAATAGATGTGGACACAGCTTTAGAGGCAGCATCCGTGGTATGGCAGGTAGCAATTATTTGCTGTTTAGATAAGACTGAAGCCTTGGCATGAATGTTCAGGACTTCTGTCTTGGTGGTGTCTGGAGTTGCGTGGATGATAGGTAAGATCCTATTCCATAGCTGGCGGTGGTACACGCCAATTGCGGCTTGGTAGTTCGTGACCCTCATGATAAATGATGTAAGGGAATAGAGTTGTCTTCCCAGAATGTCAAGTTTCCTTCCTTCTCAGTTGGTGGGAGCTACAGATGATTTGTTACCTGTTCTTGATTGATTGAATTCTACAATAATTGAATGTGGTGTGGGATGTTTGGAAAGGAAAGCTGTATCGGGTCCATGAGTTTTATAATGATTTTCCACTCATCATGAAATCTTAAGTGATGAGGGGGGTTTCTCCCATGATTCCTTTACTAAATTGAGCATGGATGGAATGAAACTCAAACTAAGAGGTGGTGTTTTATCTTGATTAAGATCTTAGTAAGACTTAGTAAGCTTTTTGCACTCAGGACAGGAGTGCATTTGGTGGTGTTTCCCTAAGCAGAAAAGGCAACAGTCATGACCATCAGTAAGCGGGATCTTATTCATGCAAAGCCCGTGCCGCTTGAAAGGCCCTGGGAGGGCCATAAAATGTAGGGGGAAAAGGGAAGGGAAAGGTGGAGTTGGGTGGGGGAGAAAAAACCATGGGAAGAAGAGAAAATGAGTTGAATAGATAAAAGAAAAAAGAAGCAGATAACTTACAGGGGAATGTCCAAAAAACAGATGATTGAAAATAGATAACTGAAAATAGACAAATTGGTTTGATCTCAGTAATCGCTCTATTGTTCCGAAACAAGTCCAACAAAAGCGGTGGCAAAAAGGAACTGAGGGGACTTTCTGAGGGCGGAGCATGAGCTCCACAGGGGAACGTCCTACTAATCACGTGTCTTTAAGCTCTAGAAACTTCTGAGACGTCCTGCGCAGGTGCAGAACAACCCATTTGTGTGCATTCACAGAGGCCCACTAGAAGAACCATCTGTTCCTACCACTAGGGGCAGATTTTTTTCTTTTTTTTTAACCTAAGATGGCGTAGGTTAAAAAAAAAGGCAGGAAACCAC